AGGGTTTAAGCATAGAAGAAGCGACCACTCGCAATGCAACTGTTTAACGTAAGGGAATCATGTGACCTCCTTGTTTAATGAATGTCTCACTTCATCGTGTAAATAGCTTCAGCCGGAGTTCCCCTTAGGAGTTCTCTTTTCCTCGTGAACAGTCGTATTACAGTATCCAAGTCGCACTCGACCTTGCTCGTGCCCTTGTACCGTCACATTCACTTTCTCCGTTGGAATCCTACATTACGGGGCTGGAGAGAATATTTTACCTGCAGTCCGCAGAGTTACTTTATGCATCGGTTTATCTCGGTCGGCGAGAGCATACGCAGCAGCGAGCCAGAGGTATACAACGCTGCACGCCGCGTCGGTCGATATTAGCAGACATAGTCGTAGCACAAAAGCATTTAACAACGCTGTGCTCTTCAGCTGCTCTACTCACGAGCCGCTACGGCCTCGGAGGTTTACTACTCAGTGTGTTAGGTATTGATAGTTGCCGGATCCTTGTGTTCCTTCAAGGCAGACTTCTGATGCCGACGGTGATTGGAGATTCTGAAAGTGTTCGTCAAGTCCCCGATCTTTGCTCCTTTGTGAAACTTTGGGAACATGTCTCGTTTATGCCACGCTTGATGCGTTCATGGGCAGCCGTCAAAGTCAAAGTGTGAAGTGTACTGTACCTAGATGCCGGAAAATCTTCCGGACAGCCTGTACTCCATGGCATCTACGTCGACGCATTTGATGGGACGCCAACAGAAAATGATGCCGTGAACTGTTTTTTGATCCTAGGAGTGGATGCATCATATAACGCTGCGTACCAGGGACGACTGGAAGCTGACCTGATGAACGCATAAGGATCATAACGAACCTTCGCCGTTACGCTGTTCTTGGTCCCTGCCCAATCGACACGAAATCCACGCTCATTTATTACCCGAGTTAATAACACTCCCCCCCCCGTTATGAATGGCAACGAAGCAATCAAAAGTCGTTATCTCAGCCAAGGAGGCACAAAGAAGCACAAGTCGCTCGAATAATTCGGTTCATTGTCAGATATAATAGTGAATATTTAACCAAATGTATACAGATACAATATTTTTGTGCGAGTAGCGCAGTGGTCATTATGACATTTACTATCACAACGTCTGGCAAGGCACTACCTACGGTGCTCCTGGGGAACACTCGCCTGAGTGATATCATCATGACCAGGAACCAACGTGTCGCCTGTCCCCCAAGAAAGATTACAGTATCAGTATTAACAAAAACCATCTCTGTAACGAAAAATACTGTTGCATCCAGAGCAGTGCCGACATCTGCATGGTCCAGGGTGGACTTTTGTCGAACTTCGCAACCATTGGTATGAAACTGCTACAAATCTAGATGATCTGATTCACAAAGGCTAACCATAGGTTGGGGATGAGTCTATATTATGGCCTCTTCCGAGAGCAATATCTGAGCGTCTTATTTCCCACCCAACATCCAGCCATGTTGGCTTTGATCGGTGGACTCCAAGTAGGTTTCTTCTAAGGCCAAACAAAACGCATGGACTAATGGCCGTAGGCTTTTCTCTTACATGCTGGTAGCGTGGTTTGAATGGAGAAAGTATGTCGGGCAAAGTGGGTTATGGTAAACATATATTTTGTGCTGGAAACCGCGGCAGCTGGCTTGCTGACTGTTGTACACCCAATCATAATAACTCTGCCGACAATCTGTACACATTTCTCTCAGCTGGCACTATTTTTGGGAAGCGTCCTTGCCAGGAGGTCAAGTATTGATCACCACTTTATGCCTGAGGATGTATCTTTCTAGGACGTGTGATGGTGTTTGCTAATGCAAAAGCAGCTGCAAGCACGCGTGGTCTTGGGTGAATGCTTGTTCATGTCTCGGGTATGTATTACTTTCACCCTTTGGACTCGATAAAGCCGTCGGATATCTTCGGATTGACAATGTTTCAGAGTTTCATGTTAAGCGGTCACATGTGTGGAATATTCCCGGAGGCAAGTAACAGTGGTTGGTTTGGAAGTGCTTTCTTGTGACGGTACAAGGGCATGAGCAAGGGTCAAGTGCGACTTGGATAAAGCGATTGTTCACAAGGAGAGTAAGAGCTTCCGAAGGAAGTTCTGACTCGAGCTATCTAAGTCCTAAAGTGGGCCCGTTCCCTTATATTTCTTCTTTAGCGGCGTTACTTTCTTTGGATATGTCGCTCTGCTGTTTGGTGGGAGCGTATTGGCACACAAATCTCGGGACTACATCACGAATCCCCGATGAATCGTGAGTAGACGAGCATACTGGCCAAGCTAAATGGTATATCATCATGTATCTAACAATCGTGCGACTGGAGACTACAGCAGAGTCCACATAAAAAAAGGGTACGATTATGGGAGGGTTTGAACACTCTACGCATTTAGTTTAAGTCAGATACCAAATCGCGTAGGCGGCTTTAATGAAGCACATATTTATATATATGATACCGTGTGCGAGATCTGCCGTTCGCATTGGACCCCTATTTTTTTCAACTACAATGTTGAGATATCTTCCCATGTCCGTAGTGTGATGTATACCCCTCTAGCGAAATCTATGCAGCTAGCCTTGGTTAGAGGCGATCTTCCGGTTCTATCAACCAGTTTGTAGTCAACAAAGTCTCGATCCTAATAACTTCCAAGATTCCAGCTACGTAGTCCCTCAGGTGTGCCAGCTGGGGACGATTGTCTACACAGACATTCCAAGTAAATAAGCTACATGGGTGTTCTGGACACTGAGGATGGAACTCTGTGCGAGCGGATATTGTGCTTCTAATGACCTCGGCTACTGTTAGTGCGTAGTGGTCCAATTGCTGTGAAATATTGTCGAGCTTTTCAACATGAGTTTTTCGCAATGATATGAGAGCTTCCATTCCGCGCAAGTGCTGAATTGCCGGTTCTGGGCATCCATGTTGTTCTGTCTCGAAGAATATCAGCATTATCATCGCCAGAACCAGCTCAGACCCAAGTCCTCCGTTGATTCTGGTTGCCAAACTCCCCAAAAGCATTCCATAGATCTCATAGAGATAATACGGGAAGGAGCACTCTCCGTCTTTTGGAATAGGTCTTCCAAGCTCCAGAGCCATCACAATGGATAGCCAACCCAAATGAGTTTGTTTCCCGGTGTCTATAATAATTTGAGTGAATTTGAGAGAGAGACAACGCCCGAGAGTATCCCAGACTGTCCCCTCGTGTTTCTCAGTTAAGCAGGCGTTTGTGGTCGCTTGATATGTTGTCTTGTTTCTTCCTTTTGTCACTTTCAAGTGCTGATGTGCGGCATCTTTCTCCAGATTGCTAACGTGAGTCGGGTCGTTCGCTCTTTGTTCCGCCTTGTCAAGCTGGCAAGGCTGGTGGCACGTAGGCTTGTAACGTCTTCGCATTTTTCGCGCCATAATTGAGTAATAGGAATTAAATCAGCTAGAGAAGCTCAGATTGTGTCAACTTTCATTCTTGAATAGTGCTGGCCCGAGATACATAACGCAAAGTAAGACTGGCATCAGCACGGTGCTGCGGCGCATCTACTGGTTTTTCAATATGCATATGTGAGCCTGAGGCTGTAATCCATTCAACGTATTAGACTGGGGACCTAGAAGGCTCGCGCATATTATCTGAGGCTGGCTGTGTTACGTTTCGTGTCAAATCAGTGACAAAAGTTCCTAACGTTTGCCATGTTGCAGCATCCGCTCTGCGGCACTACTGTCCCCCCTTCAAATCACTACGGCGATTATGTACTGTGGGCTCAGGTGCAAGACACAGAGCATTACTGTCACGTCACGAGACTCATTGTTAACTAAGCTTGTTCATAAAATTCATTATTCCTGTTCATGTCTTGCGTCTCTGTCTTTCAGAAGGATTCACGTCATTTATCTCAAGTTTTAAGGAGCCTTCCCAGCCACCCTGATATCATCAGGTGGCTGGCCAGCCTCTCAAACTCCTGATATCAATGATTTTATGACATCCAGCAATTACGTCAAGTCTGCTTGTTCAATCAAGAGAGGCAGCCTTATCCAAAAATTACACTTGCCTCTTACGAAAGTTACATACATGTACTCGTCTTTGGTGGTTAAGCAGATGTCCAGGTCCCCACTGTTTTGTAATCCCTTCCCACCTTTCTTCGGCTCTTTCCGCTTTTGTCAAACCCATTATTCATCTTGTTTCGGCTTTCTTTGTTTTGTGCCGAAAGCGCCCTGAACTCCTCCCTCACCGCGAATTTATGGCTGCTGCACCCAGGTGTCCCGACTCGCCTTTTCCCCCGCTATTCTACAAACCCCCTTGGATGACTGTCTCACCTGCGGTCCGTCACCGGCATACTGACTAACCGGACGCTGGAAGCCTGCCGCGTTATGGTAGCTTTCCAATTTTAGGACTGATAGATGAATCACATGCGAATGCTATGGGAATCAACGATGCGTGTGCTAGATTCTGTGGCTTATGGTGGGTACACCCTGACCTGAAGGCCATGTACGTAACCTGAGATTTTTTATTGTGGGCCACAGTTACACAAGGTCCCATATTTCTTTCACAATCCCTGCGGAAGGTCACTCTTGTCCAAGCGTCCCCACTCGACCTCCATGTTGTTGTCAGAAATACGGTGGCACCAAATCACAGCGAAAGCTCTTATTTTTTTGTTTTCCAAAGTAAAATTACAGTATTGATCTACATCCAGACTCCACACATGCACGGAATGGTAAGAGACAGCGCTGGCATCTGATTGAAGTGCCTGAAACTTTGGATTCGGCGATACAAAATGCAACCGCTCTCAGCTCAACTTCTTCAACGCCAAGTGATGTGCTATTTCTTCAACGCAAGTGTACTATCGCGCAGCTTATTCTGCCATGCCACCCTTCCGTAGAGGTTGATGTAAACAAAAATTTCATTCATCACTCCCGTAGTTTATGGTCTTTCCGTCCAGAATCGCAATGGCAGCGTATATTATTATTATTATTATTCACGCATTACGCCCGGTGGAGAAACCCCAATAGGGCAACTATAAACCTATGGCACGTGTACATTCTGAAAGTTGCGTCTTGTCTCATTGAAGCCCATAAGCCCTTGTCATCCAGCTTCTGCTCTTACAATCTGTGTTTCTGGCTTCGCTACGGTTTCTCGTGTTTGATTATTCTTCACAGCGGACTAGCTTGGAGCTTATTCCCCAAGTGTTCAGGATCCTATCTACGGCAGCTGAAGCGGCGTCTGCTATCTGTAGCACGAGGTGGTGACGGTAGTTGGTGGTGAGTTAGTAATGGGTGAGTGGGTGTTACAATCTGTGTATGTTACTTATTCTCCAGTCGTCCAGTGGCCAATGCAAAGCGGATTGCTGCTTGCACTGCCTTCAAATTCGGTGTCCAATCTGGTCCATCTGACGGCGACTTTCCTCCTAAAAAGAATGAAAGATCTCCTCTGTTAGTGTCAGTGCATCGGGGCATCTTTGTTCGATGTTCTTCCCATCTTATGCATCGAAAACAGAAAATGAGCTACTGTCTCTTGCTCATGCCCGCAGGCACAGTGCCTGGATGGCGCTGCATGTATCCGATAAAGTGAGTTATTGAGTCTCGTCATGTCTGTTCTCATCTGGGCCAAAATGTTGCGTTCTATCCAGGGTCGGTTATCGTATAGCTGTCGAGTATGCTGACCTGGGAGGGCGGCATCAACTCTTTTGGAATGTTTTCCTACCCCATCTGGCAAACTCCTTTCACCATTGAGTTTCTCCTTTTCGAGGTTCAGGGTAGTGGATTTCATTCTAGGGAACCGTTTTTGTGGAACTGCCCCTTCCTTGGTTGCCTGTCTTGCCTCTCGCTTGGCTAACTGTAGAAGATCATTTTCGCCGGAGCTGGGGATCCAGAATACTAATAACCCATTTCCATATCGCCATAACTTACTTAACCCTTTATAAGTGTGGCGGATATACTCTTGACCGGACTGCTGCCGGGGATTTCGGAGGCTGAGAGCGACTGCTTTGTTGGTGGTTAAGAGTGCTATTCGCCGGTGGCTAACATCGGGAAGGATGTTTAACGCGTGCGCCGTTGCTGCTAGTTCTCCTGAATACGGGTTTTGTTCGGTTCTTAGACCTAGCGTGAAAGAGAACTCCTGACTTGTCGCGTTCCCATCGACAAATGGTGTGCCGCGGACAACTCCGCCAACCCCAACCACGCCGTTGCGTGCAGAGCTGCTTACCGCCACGCGTATGTCCCATTTTGCCTCTGTTTCTTTGCTTGCATTTTCATAGTTAAAGGCTTGGACTCGATTCTCCCACGGTGCTAGTGCGAATGGCTGAATAGATTCAAGTTCCTCTAACGGCACGTCCTTGAGCCTGCATGCAACTTGGTGAAACGGCGATCTATTGCAGTGATATAGTTTCCGTACCCGCGATGTTATCCTGTGAAGTGGGTTTGTCTTAGGTAGAGTATGAATGTCAACCCAGAGTTTTATTGCTCGCTTCCAGAAGCGTTCTCTTGCGGTAGGTATCGATGCCTCTATTTCGGCAATGCTTGTCGCTACAGAGAGAAATGTGCCGACAATTGCCTGTGCTCCCACTCTTTGAACACGGTTAATCGGAGCCATGTTCCTGTACCTGTAGGCATGCATCCAGGTATTTGAGGCATAATCTACTACTGGGGCTACCGAGGCCGAAAACAACCGTCGGGCTGCCGCGGTAGACAGGCCTTTGAGCCTCGTTAACTCCAATGCTGCTTCTAAACCTTTCGACGCGGCTCTTGCAATGTGCTGCTTGTATTTAAGTCGTCTATCCATAATTACTCCAAGAATCTTCACGTGGTCCTTAGGGTGAATATCTCGCCCTTTAATCGTGAACGGATCATGGCTGAGCTTTTTGGCAGTCTTAGTAAAATGGATGATTGCCGTCTTATCAGCTTCTAACGTTGCACCACTTCTTCGCTCCCAGTCTAAAGCACTGTCAATGATGGCTTGAAGTTTGTCACGGTTAAGCTGTGCTGTTGGACTCGCTACCCAAGCTGTAAAGTCGTCAACAAACGCAATTGCTCCCCCATTTGCATCGATGCGCCGTTGCACTAGATCTGCGTTGAAAAAGAGGTACAGAATGGGAGACAGTGGGGATCCTTGCGGCAGGCCTGCCTGTGGCAAGCTCTGTGTCCC